AAAAAAAAAAAAAGAAAAAGGGAGTTTTTCCTTCCCACTGTCACCAAAGTGCTGCTCATAGGGGGTCATATGATTGTTGGGTTTTTCTCTGTATGTATTATTGTAGGGTCTACCTGACAATAGAAAGCACCCTGAGGTGACTGTTGTTGTGATTTGGCGCTGTGTAAATAAAATTGAAGTTGAAATCTGAAGGACAGCCATGTAACACTGTCAGGACAGTGATGGCAGTATCGGTGTTATCTCTGTCATAACGTTCATCAAACATTCTGCAGGATGATCCAGCAAGGTCTTGGAGGATTTACAGGATTTCGACTCAGTGAAGTGTTTGCTGACTCAGAAAGTCCCTGATTTTTATTGGCTTTTAATGATTTTTAATGGCTTATTGCTTCATTTTAAAAATGTTCCCCAGATTCTACCTGAAACTGTGTGAACATCCATCGGGGGACGGATGTACAACAGAAACATATCAGCAGCGTCCCTTCAATACTGATTAGGCTCAAACAAGCACTGAGTTTAACAAAATAGTGCTAATGTTACAACATTATCTAGCCCCGCCTCCGCCAGCACTCCCACTCTGACAGATACTGGGGTTTGCTGATGTGCTGCACTCACCAGCACCATCTCTGTCTATCTTTGTGGTGGTGTTGATGCTTTGGTTGGAGCGAGGGTTGGTGATGCGGCAGGTCACCGACACCAGGTCCTTCACACTGACGGAGCTCCTGACAGTGAAGGTTCCATCCTTTGCGTCCCTCTCGTGGGTCGGTTTGTATTCATGCAGGTCCACATATTCACCACCGGTCGTGTTTTGACCCGACCATGACACGCTGGATTCAGGGTATCCTCCACGCGCTGTGCAGGTCGCAGTGTCTGCTGTGTCAATGGTCAGGTTTATATCTCTGTAGGAAGCTGTGACAGAGGTGAACACTGTTTACACACCACAGACATTCAGAGCACATCAGCACAAACACTTCATGCCAGAAACAAGAACATCAGAGTCAGAGCTGTATGAAAAGTCTCAGGGAGACGTATTCGATCTGGACGTAAGAAGATATCTTCCTTACCTGAAACCTGCAGTGTTGAGTTGCAGCGGCGCTCACGTCTGTCTTTGAAGGAAGCCATGACCCAGAACGACTTCTGGTCGTCTGCAGCTGTAACACTGTGAAGTTTAATGGAGATGTTCCCCGATCCAAACTCAGAAGCAAAGACTGTAACTCTGTTCCTGTAGACTTCAGATGTTGTTTGTTGACACGTTTGTTCACAATGAATCAAAATGTTTTCAGTCCCGTCCTCCTGCCAGTAAAACCACTTTGGCCTTGTTGGAACTGGGAGTTTACAGGTAACCAGCACAGAGCCTCCAACAGTGGCACCGAGGAGCTCCGCTCGCTGACCCGAGATGAGGGCTGGAAAAAGAAACACAAACACATCAGTAACGATGTAATTATGACATCAGTGATGTAACGCACAGTTTAAGAAAACCAGCCAAACTGTAAACAGACAGGCACTGACAGGACCAACTTCAAGTTTGTTTTTCACTATTTAAAGATTTTATTTTAAAAACAGAAATCTGATTGGTTCTTTGTGCCTCACAAACCTTTTTCCTTCTGGCTGGAGTGCAGTCTCTCACACTAGTGGCTAATTTGGGTCATTAACTTTCCCAAATTACTATCAGTTGTTTTGGATTCTCTGTATTCTTTGCGTTACTGTCCAGTCTTCACCTTATAATATAAAGCACCCCGAGGCTGTTTTTGTTGCTAAATAAATAAATTGAATTAAACTAAGTGAAACGTAATTTAATATTAAAAATCTCCAGTGAGATGAGATGGATCTGTTGGGTTATTGTGGTATTATTAGCTCTAAATGCTCCTTCATCCCTAAAATCAAAGAAACAAACTGAAGGTTAAAAACAGCAGAGTGTCATAAACAAGAGGATTTACAAGGTTAGGCAGAGTTAGCAGGTAGTTAGCTGGTTTCTATTGAGAGTTTAGTCGGCTTGAGAATGATTGTTTACCAGAGGGTTTAAATATTTGCTGTCTGGGGCACCTCGAGCTGCAGAGGCCAAGAATGATGACTGAAGAGCTTTAGGGGCTTTGTGTCTGTTCAATAAATAAGAGCCTCACACAGCGCAGGAGACACTTGGACAGGACGCTCAGTCGATACATCAGCACTTAACATGCAGACAGAGCCTCAGCTGCGTGCTGTAAACTCCATTTAGCTTTCACTGAAGCCGATACGGCTGGAATGCATTTACTTGGATTTAGTATGGATGCAGCACACTTATAGCCAGGACATGGTAAATCATAGAGCTGTAATAACTGTATGATTTAAATATCGCTCATGAAAGAAAGACAAATGGAGCAGATGGTCTTTAATAACTTTAGGTTTGTTAGTCCTTAAATAAATATAAAAGTACAAATTACAAATCGAGCCCAAACATGCATATTTCTGGGGATATTTGAGCATCATGTAGCAGCACATCCTCCACCAGGAGTAAAGCCCAAACATATCTTACCACCGAGCAGTCCGACCACGAGGCCTGCAGTTAACATGTCTGCCTGTAAAACAAAGGTAAAACATGCTGTGGTCACATATCTATTATTGCGTGTAAACACACTGTTTCATCTTCCTCATGAAGTCTGGCTGGCCTCCAGCAGGTGTTACTGGAAATGTAATGAGCCCACATTGTATTCAGATTAGTAACAAGATCACAGTAATAAAGTGATATAATCCCAGTACTTTGTGTTTAAACAGTGTTTAGCACACACTCACAGGATTACATGGTGTCGGGCTCACAGACAGCAGCTGTTCCACCTCTGCATGCTGTAAGCAAATAACAACAACAGCTACAGAGTCAAACATCCTGGAGAGCAGCTTTCTGTGAAGGATCCACACAGTGGGGAGAGCCCACAGAGCATCACAGAGCATCACAGAGCATCACGGAGGGAAATTCTGGGATTGTGGTACTTTGCAAATGTGTGCTCTATGCATGCAGCTGCTAACCAGTTAAACAAATAGATTTAGCAGCCAAACCCCAGGTGTATTACAGGCATCGTGTCATAAATGCAAACAACTTTTTTACTGATGAAGTAGCGAGTCATAAGTAGCTTGAAATAAGCCATCATGAAGCTGTTCTTTGTTCTTTGCACAGTGATGTGTTTTCAGTGAGAAACTTCTGGTTTCTCACTGCAGCAAATGAAATCTGAGCTACATGCACTCAACAGTAATTCAGTTCAGTTTCGTTGTATTTATATAGCTGGTTTATACTGGTTATACTGGTTTACTATTTTTCTTTTTACATTCAAAACAAAAAAAGGTAAACTGAACATCAAGACAATTCTATAAAAAAATAAATGTTGTTATGTTACCTCAATATTACTGAGATGTATTTCAATATGTCTGTAAAATACATTTGTTTTATTTATTTTTCGTTTTAATGTTATGAACTACAGCAACATCTGTGGTGTTACAGGTCAGTTTTGACAATTTTATATTTACTTGAAAAGAAAAAGGGGGGAAAGTACTTCATTTTATGGTGTTTATAAAAGCAGATTCCGGAGAAAGTGTCCGGATCTATAACGGCTCGGAAACACTGTTAATATTAAAATAAATAAACAGGAAGTCAAACATGGAAGGAATGAAAAAGAAGCAAAGCTGTAAATCTCCAGACTGTACCGGCTCAGGTCAGCACGATAAAGATGATTCAAAGCAAACTGAGTTTGAAGACTCAAAGGTTTCCAGCAGCGCGCAGGACGGTGCACAGTCATAAAAGCTCAGGACACGCGTGACAGCCGGAGCTGTTCTCTCAGCTAAGTAAGAGCCAAATATTTCTTTCATCGCCAATAAACGCGTATCTGATCCCAGGAAGCCTCTGTGAGCGCTGCGTCCTCACAGACTTACAGACTCACCTGAATCAGAGTCTGTCAGGAGCCCGGGCTGCTCCTCTCACGGCCGCGGTGAAGAGTGGCTCCCGTTATCCGCACGTCCTCTCTTACAGACAACCTCGACTTCCCCCTTCTCACTCTCAGCCACGCGCACGTGCACGTTTTCTGCTTCTGCATTGCTTCCTTTCTGGTGATAAAAACCTTTCAACGATCGTGGCTCAAGAGTTGAGAGGGCGCCTTGTAATCGGAAGGTTCCCGGTTCGAGCCCCGGCGTGAACAGTCTCGGTCGTTGTGTCCTTGGGCTGGTGGTATGTAGCTTACCATCACCAGTGTGTGAATGGGTGGATGATTGGATATGTAAAGCGCTGTGGGGTCCTTGGGGACTAGTAAAGCCTCCTACAAATACAGGCCATTTACCATCACTCTGCTGACGTCATAACCTCGGTGTCATGCATTCATAAAATCTGATCATCAGTTTAGTTCAGTTTAACCGGAGAGTGTTTCAGGTGCTGAGCAGTTGCAGATTATAGCTGCCATTATTATCATCATCGACAGAAATAAAAAGGCTGCTTCCGTCTGCTATGACTTCCACAAACCTCGCTGTGACCTGAACTGTTACAGCAAACATCAGAGGGGACACTTTGGTGCTTTACCTCAAAGCAAAAATAATCGTGATAATAAACTGTCATGCTGCTTTCTGAAGAAAAGAAGAACTGGGCATACTCGGGAAGCTCTTCAGGTGTTATCGGTCCATTCCGTGTGTTGGGAAGCCCAGCAGCGACACCTTGTGGCGACGCGTTTAATCACCGTCATATGGCAGATTGCCCTTTCAGCTACAGCAGCACTGCAGCTGGTTCAGCTGGAGATTCGGAGGCTTACCGCCATGCAGCGGACATATCCTGAGGCTTTCGCAAAAGACACTCGCAACAAGCTAATGTGTGGATCGACTGTTGAGTAAAATGCCTCCAGCCTAGTAGCGGTTTTTAATATGGGCGACTGCTCACGGCGGCATCGTGGTGGGGGGCGGCATCACGGGCATCGGCAAAAAAAGTTGCTCGTACTCATTCTGCCCGGACATCATGGCAGCGCGTTTTGGGGATGGCATTGGTACCCAGTGGCGGTCACTCCCTCTTCCCCCCCCCCCCCCCCCCCCACACACACACACACACACACACATATATATAAAACATATTAAGGATTGCACATTAACATAAAACTGTTGTACACACACACACACATATGAAGAGAGAGTGCGCATAGTATGCAAGCGGCTACCAAACAGCCATCATAATTCGTCACACAATGAGAACAGGACAAAGCAACAACTGACAATGATTCATTAATATTAATCGTTTCTCCTCCTCTTCTTTTCTCTTTTTCTAAACTGAGCACCTGATGGCTTTGAACTTTTCTTGTCCATCTTCCACTGGTTTTAATTTTGCACTCCAGTATGAACACCCATCCCCCAACCCGAGGATCAGCACAACATAACCTAACACACCTACACCTTAGTTCACAGATTCACTTTGTCTAAGGTGTATTTCTGGGATTTCACACAACCCAGGATTCAAATCATGAATACATAATGGGCTTGGATTTACAACATTATAAATGAAATGCGCTCTATTTGGAAGCAGCAGGCCCCTCCCCTTTTGTGTATGACTTTAAATCATCAAACTGTAAATTAAACATTTCAAATTGTTATTGATCCTTTACCCCGAGTCCTAAAGTGTATATTAATTCTTTTACTCTTAAATATTTATTGTTTGTTTACTTGCACTGCTGTAACTGCAGCCTCGTCGTCTCGTCTCTCTATACGCTGGACTGTATGTAGCGGAGATGACAATAAAGTTTACTTTGACTTCAGCAGCGAGCACCGATGTGCTTTTCGAAATTCTACACGCGAAAGGTGAGCGCGGGAGCGCGAGAGGCCTCGGTGCGCCTGCTCGCTGCTGAAGTCAAAGTAAACTTTATTGCTGCTTCCGAATAGAGCACATTTCATTCATAATGTTGTAAATCCAAGCCCATTATGTATTCATGATTTGAATCCTGGGTTGTGCGAAATCCCAGAAATAAACCCGAGACAAAGTGAATCTGTGAATTAAGTTCATACTGGAGTGCAAAATTAAAACCAAGATGGACAAGAAAAGTTCAAAGCCATCAGGTGCTCAGTTTAGAAAAAAGAGAAAAGAAGAGGAGGAGAAACGAGCAAAAGATGCAGGTAAGCAGATGTGTGATTGGATAATGGCAGGTCATCCTGAACCAATCAGAATCAGAACACTTTATTAATCCCTAAGGAAATGATGTGTGTTACAGTTGCTCCAAGAGGAAATGGTAAAAACAGCAACAGTAACAGACTAAACTCCAAACAATACATTATGTTACAGGTTTTACACATTTAAGAAACAGCACTAATATATACAGATCACTCAGTTATAAATATCAAGGCTTAACAGAGGGGATTATAAATAAATATCAAGAAAATTGATGAGAATATTCCAGAGTAGAAAAAAGCGTGTGCAAAAAGGCTGTAACTGTTGCAGTGTTCACAGTGTGTTAGATGGAGGAGTTGTACAGGGAGCCACAGACAGGAATGATTCCTGTGTCGGTCAGTGGTGCATTGTGGGTAATCTCAGTCTCTCACTGAACGTGCTCCTGTGAGTAGCCAGCATGTCATGGAGAGGGTGGGAGGTGCTATCCATGATTGTCCTTATCTTGGACAACATCTGCCTTTCAGACACCACCCTAACGTCCAGCTCCATCCCCACAACATTACTGGCCACGTGGATCAGTTAATTTAGTCTGTTGGGGATAGTGAAAACTTGGGCGCTTCTCCGGTGCTGATAATTGGCGTCTGTCTTGTGTCAGTGACATAAAAGACGGATTTAATGCGACATGACCATCAAACAGCAGTCGCTTTCTAAAACATCAGATATGTATCGGATTCAGCACCCAAGTCGGATTTGTGCCGTTCACACTGTCACACCATGATGGGATATGGGTCGCATAGGGTTTGGCAAACAACATATGTTCATTACCCAGAAGGAATTAGACTTGCCGAAGGTTTCCTTGAAGCTAACAGCTTGTTATGTGAAGGGGCTCGTCCGGGATATCGCACAGGGTCAAAAAAGTCGGATTTGATGCGCTTTCACCTGCAGTGTGAACGTAGCCTTAAGCTTAGGCACAGAAGCGCCCGAGAAGACATGGTGAACGCTTCCTGGCCATCCAGTGTAGATGTTAGTGAAACTGTTGGGAAGACAACGTTGGAGAAACGTGAACATTTTATTTGTAGTGTGAACAAGCAGACAAAAAAAAGCAGATTTGATCAAAAAATCGGAATTGAGCATTAAGACCTGCAGTGTGAACGCAGCCTTAGAGATGAAAGAATTTGGGCTGGTTTTAACTTTCAGCCATGCTGCTGTGTATGTTTGAGTTTGGACCAGGAAATAGCCGATGATGTCACAAAACTGTGCAGCAATATTCAAGAAAAAGTTCCAAAACATGAGTACAATCAGTCAAACAAGAAGCTGGACTTGGCGACCTGCTCTGACTCATCACAGAATCTATGAGAACTGACGGCACCGAGCCGTGCTCGTCCTGACAGCAGTCACTGACAGGTGAGACCTTTACTAACACCTCTTTTTTCCTCAAAGCTCGAATTTGTGGCCTCCTTGTAATGTGATCCTGTATCTGTCGTCTTTATCCTTCTGCTGCTCGGAGCAGCGATCTGCTGCTGCAGAAGTGAGCTGCACATTTCATTTCTTTTGTTTTTATTTAAACTATTGAAAAATATAAAACTAAATAGGAACGAATTTCCCAGCAGTCGGGAGTTTTTGGGGAAGCTGTGAGAGGGCTGAATGACACAGCTTTAGAGCTTTCATTTACAATTAATATTAGGAAAACATACAGTTGATATCAAATGTTAAAAAAGTATAAATCCAATATCTTGGTTACATTTTCCAGTCACCGGCATGCAGCCAGTGTCAGCCGCTCCTGCTCTTTTCTTAGTGTTTTACTCAGTATTGGAGTGCTGGTTTGTTCCCCTCAAACGAGTGGGTTGAGACAGTTTTGGTTCTCCTTGATGCTGAGGAACTGTTGCTTTCATTGAGGAACGTGGCCGCGGCGCAGCAGATACACACTGCACGCTTTGTGATTGCCCTGATGGCGCCGGTGTTCTGACAAACCATCCTACTTTTGGCAAAACGTCCTACCATAAGTAGTTTATGCACATTTCTGCTGTCACAGAGTAATTTCAGCACCAATTTAAGTAGGTATGACGGTTTGCCACGTAACTGTGCCCATCAGAGTATGCTTGTAGCTCATATTCATAAAGCCAGGACGGTTGGCCACTTCATTTTACCCGTGAAAGTATGTTTGTAGGTCACATTCACAAAGGTAGCATGGTTTGGCACTGAATTTTACCCGTCAGAGTATGTTTCTAGCTCTTATAAACAAAGGTAGGATGATTTGGCACTGAATTTCGTGTTGTGCGTATGCGCAGAAATAACAGGTAGATTTGTCAGGTAGGATGGATTCCCTGATGTGTCAGCAGACTCACGGCTGACATCAGGAGACTAACACATCGCAGGTATAGAACGATCAAGTGCTGATTCTGGTTAAAACATTGCTTTACTGAGTGTGCACTGAGACGTCCATCCATCATAACACAACACAAAAAGTAACCACAACATGTTAGTCGTGGGTTTGTCTCATAAGGGAATGAAGGTGAAGTTAACCAAGGTCACTTGAAGAGCAGTTGAGTATGGGGCGCAGTTTGTAAAGTGAAACATGCTGAAATTAACGGCAACGTTTTTCCACATTTAGCTCAAAGCCTTACAAAAACATATTTTTTCGAGTAATTTTTTACAACATTTAGTAAAATATTTGTAACTTTTCATCAGATGTTAAATGTTAAATCTAAATATTATATTTAAATCTAAATCTAAACGTTAAATCGAAATGTTTAGGCTAACATGCAAATTTATTGCACGGATCAGCGGAAATACCAAAATAAAAGC